TTAAAATTATGTGGAGACACTATCACAGATGAGGACTTATTGGAAAAAATATTTTCTACTTTTCACGCTTCAAATATGGTGCTACAACAGTAATACCGTGAAAAAAGTTTTAAGAAATATTCTGAGTTAATTATATGCCTACTTGTGGCAGAGCAGAATAATACTCTATTAATGAAAAATCATGAAGCCTGTCCCACTAGGTCATCTCCATTTCCGGAAGTGAATGTTGTAGCAGCATATGACAAGTCTGAAAGAAAACAAAATAATTACTGTGGTCGTGGACATGGCCGTAGACGTGGACGTGGCAGGGGACGAAACAATTATCGTCATTATGGTGTTAATAAACATAAGAACAATAAGGGTTCTCAAATTAATCCTTCAAAAGGTAAAATTAATGTATCACCGATGTAGTATGAAAGGTCATTGAGCACGCATTTGTCGTACACCAGATCATTTTGTCAAACTTTATCAAGCCTCCCTTAGAAAGAAAGAAAATAATGTGGAGGCACACTTGACCTTTCAAAATAATGATGATGAAGCGGGTCCCTCAAACAAATATGATTACGAGGCACATTTTGCATATAAAAATGACGATTTTAGAGGTCTTGCAAATATTACTCATTTAGAAGCTGGAGACTTCTTTGAGAATATTGACTAAAGAACTAATCATCTTACTGGGAATGAAGCTATAATAAAAATTGTCGTTTTTCATTTATATTTGCAACTAGTTTATTTTTCTTGAGTGTATTTTCCTAATGCATCATGTGTTGCTAGTTTCTATATTCCCAACGTATTTCTTAATATTTTTTTTTCTGTTAGTCTTTCATATTTCTTATAGTGTACTTTTAGATTTTTTATGAAGAATATGAAAATTCCCCAGTATTCATTTGGACTCAAGATTAATAAAGATGATATATGTTTTCTGAATAGTGCAACAACACACTATTTTAAGAGATAAATGATACTTCTCTTATTTGGTAATGAAAGAAGCCAATATTAATACAATATCTGGTAGTACAAGATTAATTGAAGGTTCTGGAAGAGTCAATTTATTACTACCAGGAGGAACAAATTTGGCTATTGATGAAGCACTATATTGTAGTAAATCTCAAAGAAACTTATTAAGTTTCAAAGATATTCGTCAAAATGGCTATCATATTGAGACGACAAATGATGAAAAGATTGAATATCTTTATATTACTACAATAATGTCTGGTTAGAAATATGTGCTTGAAATGTTACATGCTCTTTCCTCCGGCTTATATTACACAAGTATTGACGGGATAGAAACACATGCCGTAGTAAACGAGAAGTTTACTAATCAAGATAATTTTATTATTTGGCATGACCGGTTGGGTCATCCTGGTTCTACTATGTTGCGTAAAATAATTGAAAATTCACATGAACATTCAATGAAGAACCAAAAGATTCTTCAATTTAAGAAATTCTCTTGAGCTGCATGTTCTCAAGGCAAATTAATTATTAGACCATCAACGATTAATGTTAGGATGGAATCCCCTGCATTTCTGGAACATATACATGGTGATATATGTGGGCCCATTAACCCTCCATGTGGACCATTCAAATATTATATGGTTTTGGTAGATGCATCTACAAGATGATCACATGTGTGCTTATTATCAACTCGCAATATGGCATTTGCGAGATTGTTGGCTCAAATAATAAAGTTAAGAGCACAATTTCCAGATTATGCAATTAAGACAATTCGTCATGATAATGCTGGTGAGTTTACATCTCAAGCCTTTACTAATTATCGTATATCAACTGGGATAACAATTGAGCATTTGGTTGCTCATGTTCATAAACAAAATGGTCTAGCAGAATCATTGATCAAACGCCTCCAATTAATTGCTAAACCAATGCTTATGAGAACAAAACTTACCATTTTAGTATGGGGTCATGCTATTTTGCATGCAGCAACACTTGTGCGGATAAGGCCTACAAGTTATCATAAAGTCTCCCCATTGCAATTGGCTTTTGGTTAGGAGCCAAATATTTCTCCTCTTAGAATATTTGGTTGTGCGGTATATGTTCCAATTGCTCCACCACAACGCACAAAAATGGGTCCCCAAAGAAGGTTGGGGATATATGTTGTGTTGGGTATGAATCTCCTTCTAGTATAAAATATCTGGAACCTATGACTGGAGATTTATTTACGGCAAGATTTTCTGATTGTCATTTTGATGAATCAATATACTCAACATTAGGGGGAGAAAATAAGCACCTGAGAAAGGAGATAGATTAGAATGCATTATCACTATCTCATTTAGATTCTCGAACAAATCAATGTGAAAAAAAGGTTCAAAATATAATTCATTTGCAAAATGTTGCAAATCAACTGCCACATGCATTCATTGACCTACCAAGGGTGACTAAATCACATATTCCAGCTGCTAATGCTCCAATTCGAGTTGATATCCCGGCAGAATAATCAATTAAAGTAAATGAGTTTAAATCACGCTTGAAACGTGGTAGACCAATCGATTCTAAAGATAAAAATCCCCGAAAAAGAAAAGGAGCAAATAATCAAAGTGATCATAATACGGAGGTAGTGGCTCAAGAATAGCCCCGAGACATAACAAATGATAAGACCTCAGGGGAGGTCCAGGTACTTGAAAATAATGAGAATGAAGAGAACTCAATAAGTTATGTCTCAACGGGAAAAAGATGGAACCGAAATAATATTGTTATGGATAATGTTTTTGCTTATAATGTTGCTATTGAAATAATGCAACAAGATGAGGATCTTGAACCAAAATCTGTCTATGAATGTAGAGTTGTAGACAGAGAAATGATTGGCCAAAATGGAAAGACGTTATCCAAGCAGAATTAACTTCACTTGGAAAACGTGAAGTCTTCGGACCTATAGTTCCACACCAGAATGTATAAAGCAAGTAGGGTACAAATGGATTTTTGTACGAAAACAAAATGGTAAAAATGAAGTCGTTAGATATAAAGCGCGACTTGTGGCACAAGGGTTTTTGCAAAGGCCAGGCATTGATTATAGGGAGACATATTCTCCTGTGGTGGATGATATCACCTTAGTGTATCTCATAAATATGGCAGTGCATGAAAAACTTGATATGCGTCTAATGGATGTTGTCACAACCTATTTGTATGGATCATTAGACAACGAAATTTTTATGAAAATACCTGAGGGATTTAAAGTGCTTGAAGCATAAAAAGTTTTCGTGAAACTTGTTCAATAATGCTTCAGAAATCCTTATACGGATTGAAACAATCAGGTCGTATGTGGTACAATCGCTTGAGTGAATACCTGTTGAAAGAATGGTACAAGAATGATGCAATTTATTTTTGTGTCTTTATAAAAAGGTCTGGATCTGAATTTGTTATAATCGTTAGGTATGTTAATGATTTAAATATCATTGGAACTCATGAGAGCTTCCAAAAGCAGTAGACTGTTTGAAAAATGAATTTAAAATGAAAGATTTTGGAAAGACAAGATTTTTGTCTTGGTCTACAAATTGGGTATATGAAAGATGGAATATTTGTCCATCAAACAACATACACCGAAAAGATCTTAAAGCGATTCTATATGGATAAAGCACATCTATTGAGTACCCCGATGGTTGTGAGATCACTTGATATAAAGAAAGATCCATTCTGACCTCATGAAAATGATGAAGAGCTTCTTGGTGCCGAAGTACCATATCTTAGTGCAATTGGAGCATTAATGTATCTTGCCAATAATTCCCGATCAGATATAGCTTTCTCGGTAAGATTGTTGGCAAGATTTAGTTCTTCCCCAACACAAAGACACTGGAATGCTATTAAGCATATATTCAGATACCTCTGAGGGACCATTGATATGGGTTTATTTTATTCAAATGAATCCAAGTCATCATTGATTGGTTATGCAGATGCAGGATATTTGTCTGATCCACACAAAGGTCGATCTGGGACAAGATATTTATTTACAAGTGGAGGTACAACCATATCATGGCGTTCAACGAAACAAACTATAGTTGTTACTTCTTCAAATCATGCAGAGATAATAGCCATTCACGAAGCAAGTCGAGAATACATTTGGTTGAGATCGATAACTCAACACATTCAGGAAACATGTGGTGTTTCTTCGAAAGGGAATATTCCAACAATATTGTATGCAGATAATGTTGCATGCATAACTCAACTGAAAGGAGGATACATCAAAGGATATAGAGCAAAACACATTTCACCGAAATTCTTTTTCACTCATGATCTTCAAAAGAATAGTGAAATAGATGTTCAACAAGTTTGTTCAAGTGATAATTTGGCTGATCTGTTCACTGAGGCATTACCAATCTCAACATTTGAAAAGCTGAAATACAAGATTGAAATGCGTCGTTTTCGAGATATTAAGTGATATTTTTTATTAGGGGGAGTAACTACGCGCTGCACTCTTTTTTCCTTAACCAAGGATTTGTCCCACTGGATTTTTCTGGTAAGGTTTTTAATGAGGCAGCACACAATGCGAATAACAAATAATTACGTACTTTTTCCTTTCACTTGAAATTTTATTTTTAACATGGACACCCAAGGGGGATTGTTGAAAATAATAGTTATGGATGTACATGTTGAGCCCATCATTTAATTTGTAGTGACCATTCCCCCCACTATTTTAGTGGTCATTCCTCCCACTATTTTATAATAGTGATTATTCACTTTTCATGACTCTGTAAATGCTTTGTAATAGATGGTTAAATACATACAATTGAAGAGAAGAAACTCCTCTTTCTTTCTATCATTATTTATTATTTACTAAATTGCTTTTTTTTTCATAACAACTCCAATTATTTACAACTACTTTGTCACTGTCTGCATTAAGTTAATGAATCAAAGGAAAAAGCACGTTTGACTCTGTTTCTAACTAAATCCAACTAAAGATGCGAACTGTTAAGCAAAAGCCACGAACTTTAAAGGCTAAAAGATGTATATATTGGGCAAAATTAGATATAACAGTTGTACAAGAATAATACCTTAGTAGTCAATTTGAAATCCGTTTCCTTCCAAATCCCATTCCTAACGAATCGATCAGCTTCACAAATTCTCCTCAATGTTGCGAGTGTGAGCAAAATGGCCATGTCAGCAACGTCATTGGTGAGAGCATCGGGAGTGGAAGTGACCCTAATCCCTCTCTCTTTACACTTCACCAAATCAATCTTGTCAAGCCCTGAACTGTGACTCGATACTATTTCCAATCTGGGTAGCGAGTCAATCAACGCCGAATTAGCTCCCTGAACTCCATTTCCCACTACTGCTCGGATGGAGTCCGAATGGAGTTTGAGAGATTCAGAGGGAATTTCCCAGTATTTGAAGAGGGTGAAACGTTTCGCCAGCTCTTGCTGGAGATAATTGGATAGCGGACGCATCAACAATACCCCTATCCCATCCATTTCTGCTTTATTAGGACAGAAGGAGCTCTTTTTTGTTCATTCGCAAGTTTTTGGAGGAGCTCTTTGTTGATTAGTGACGTGTTTTCCTTAACCTATTGGTCCAACTAATTCCTAATCGCCCGCCAGAGAACGGATGGATGGTGTTATGTAGTTACATTTTAAAAAAATTCTTTATTCACACACAACAAAAGGTGCTCTGGTAAAGCTTATATGCTGGTTAAAACACTTTGCGACTTATCTATAAACTCCAAAAATGCTTATAAGACAAAATCATCAACAAGTTATAGTTCGATCACTCTCAACTTTTGTTTTTTTAAAGTATAAGCACTTTTGGTTGGCTAGAGGAAGAAAGGAAGGTTGTGCTCCTAATTCCTAACACATTAAACAATATACAGTGGAATTGGCACTAAAACTTGGAGGAATTTTCAACGAGCTTCAGTCCGTTGTTTCATGTCCAAACAATTTAACAACTCCAACGTGAATGTCCAGACAGTTTGAATAACAAAATTGAAACACTCAAAGCGAGCATCAATTCAAGATTTGAGTTGACAATCTGCATTACTAAATAGTTTATCTTCCCCTCATCATTGCAAAACTATCACGGGACAGTCTCTCCAACCTACCAAGTGACCGACCAATCCATACCACCAATTTGATCATAAATTCTCTAATGAACTCTCCCATTAAACCATCAATGTTGTATTGTTATTAGGCTTATTTTTATGTTCAGGAGACGATAGAATTGAAATAGTCCAATAAAAAGATTGACAGCAAGTTGAAGCACCCAAACAATCACGAAATATTTGCTCCAAAAGTTCAGGAGACAATGTGCTCCTATATGAAGTGAACGGTGAACCTAGTTCCTGCAGCAAAAGGTAACACCTCCAAACAATAACTAATAGCAGCAGTTCATATACTTAAACCACTGGAGTTAACAGCGGTTTGTTCAGAAAGTGAGCTTCTAAGTTCCCAAGGACAAGGTCGGCCATGGCCTTGCGTGTTTCCACTGTGCCACTGCCTACATGAGGCAATAGGACCACATTCTCAAGGCCAAAGAGCTGCTCAGGTACTTCAGGCTCATTCTCAAACACATCAAGACCAGCACCCCCTAATCGGCCTTCAACAAGAGCAGATACAAGCTCTTTTTCATCAACATGAGGACCCCTACCAATGTTAATCAGAACCCCCTTTGATCCCAAAGCTTCAATGACTTCACGGTTGACAATATGACGAGTTTCAGGAGTCAATGCACATGCCACAACCAGAATCTGGCAATTGGAAGCCAACTCAACTACACTTGGATAATACTTATAATTTGTATTTGGCTTTTCTGATCTCGCGTGATAACTGATAGGACAGCCAAAAGCTTCTGCTCTCCTAGCAATTGTTAAGCCAATCCTTCCCAATCCTATAATGCCCACTGATTTTCCACTAAACTGCAAAAGAGATAGTACGGAATCAGGTGAAGATTATAATACATCCCAGTGGCCAGAAGTTAATACAATTTAGGCAAGTAAAGAAAATATGAAATCGATATTTATGGGTTTAACTTTAAGAAGAAGATTGGATCTTTGTTAATTACACCATTGAATGAAAGATTATGTTGCATTTTCCCCGGTTTATTTGCCAGATATAACTAGAGTATTACCGCAGAAAAAAGGCTCCAAAAAGTTCCATCAAGAATAAATTGCTATTCTGGTGGCCATAGCTTCTCAAAGTTAATGTGACACCACCTCCAAAACAATTACTTACAACTGATATGGTGATATAATAAGCTTTTTTCTAAAGAAACTCTATGTTTTTCGCTAGCCAAAGACTTACTGGTGTTCAATATCAAATTTTCCGGGATTTTTGCTGCATGTAATCACAGCCATACAATTTTTGAATTACATTAAACTGAAAGGTACTATGCAACACAATAAAACGCTAATATGGAATAGCTTCTTTAAAATAAACCCAAGTTACAGATGACTGTTGAGGCTCATCTAAAACACCGAGCAACTCAAGGATACACACATTGTCACAGATGTGTTATTGAAGCAGAGAAGTGTCATAGCAGTGAAGGGAAAAAAGGTTGAAAAGGAGAAAGGAGAAAGGAGAAAGGAGAAAGGAGAAAGGAGAAAGGAGAAAGGTGAAAGTTAAATGCTGGGCTCCCTGAAATAAAACTCGAGACCAGATAATAAGAGAATTTACAGCAAAGGCACAACAACCTATCTTGTACAGGGAATTCGTTTGCCCTCTTCATATTTTCTTGGCAAGAACAAAGTAACAACAGATGATACAAAAGCTATGAATTCCATACACTAACTAGATACTTAATTGGCCTCAAGCACATTAAAATTCCATTAATACAAAGAATAAGATGCCTTGGCACAATTCAATCCTACATAGGCGCCAATATTGTTGAATTTACATTTAGGGGAAAGCGGACATCATCTCCTTTATATAACCGGAGTAAAGCCAAGAATTCACAGATAATATTTTCGTCTCTTTATAGCTAAATTTCCCATCTTTTTGCTTCAGGCAGCAAAGCTTCAAACTTTCAATTATCTATGCCTTTCTCATAGACATCAGACGATGTGATACAGACATAAGAAGGACAAAATAAAAAGCGGAAAACAAAATAAAAGGAGGAAAATTGGCGAACCTTAGAAGTCAACTTGAAATCACCAGACTTCCACAACCCTTTCCTAACATAGCGATCGCATTCACAAATCCTCCTAAGAACAGCCAACATCAACCCTATAGCCAGGTCAGCCACGTCCTCGGTCAAAACGTCGGGGGTATTAGTAACCCTAATCCCCTTCTCTTTACACTTGTTCAAATCGATCTTATCTAAACCAACACTGAAACTGGAAACAATCTCAAGCTTAGGGAGGGAATCGATGAGCTCAGCGTCAGCGCCGGCGAAGGCGTTGCCGACGACAGCGCGGATGGAATCGGCGTTCTGATTGAGGAATTCGTTCTTCTGGGGAAAGTTCCAGAAGCGGAAGAGCTTGAATCGCTTGTCTAGCTCTTGCTCTAGGTAGGATGACATAGGACACGCCATTAACACTCCGATGCTTTCCATTTTTCTCTTGTTGTTCGTGTGTGGAGTATGAAGAGTGATACAAGTTGACACTTTTATTTAGCTTATATAGCTAACAAATGAGGGGTTGATCGGTTTCCACTATGTATGGTGACTTTTTCTTTCGAGGGAAACTAATTATATACATGGCATATGCTATTTACTTAACTTTTTTTATTTAACTATAATCAATTGATATAACTATTTATTTGAATTTAGCTTAAAAATAATAAATTAATGCAATTTAGTGTATACGTCAACTAGAGTAAAATAAAAATCGACCAAGTGTAGCTCAGAAGGAGTGGAGCATCTCACGGAATACTTCCATCAAATTTATTTAATTTGATATTTTTAATATAATTGGCAAGTTACTTTTTTCTTATTGTTCAATTATTGTGTGTTCCCATAAATTTAAGGTATGCGGTTGATTTTTTTTTTGTTCTTCTGTTAAGAGCTTGAAAGCTCTGTTAATGGTGAAAGATGAAGAAGAGAGAATATCGAGACAGAGAGAGAAGCTTCCGGAAAAAATGAGTAATATTTTTACTAACTGATTTTATAATACACTGTACATCCTTTTATACAAGAATAACCAACTTCTTAATTACTAGTCTTAACACTAACTAACTAACTTGTCAGCTCATCCACAGCTCAACATTCCCCCTCAAGCTATGTGGTGTGAACAAGTTGAACACTCCTAGCTTGGACAATAGAAATTCATGCTATGCTCGACCAAGACCTTTAGTTAAAATGTCTGCCAGTTACAACTCTGATTTCACATGTGATGTTTCTATCAATCCCTTTTATATCTTTTCTCTAATGAAATAACAGCCAATCTCTATGTGCTTTGTCCATTCGTGATAAATTGGATTCGCTGCAATCTGAAGAGCGGCTTTACTATCACAAAACAGCTTCACTGGCAGTTGAATTTGCAAATTCAGTTCTCCAAACAATCCTACTAGCCAAACTACTTCTGCAATTGATCTTCCCGTGCTTCTGTACTCAGCTTCTGCTGAACTTCTTGATATAGTACTCTACTTCTTCGATTTCCATGAAAGTAAAGAGTCTCCAATCTTGACAACAAAACCACTGATTGATTTCATTGTCATAAGGCAAGTAGCCCAATCAGCATCACAGAACACTGTCAGCTCATTAGACATTCTAGAGGATAATAAAATCCCTAAGCCAGCTGCATTTTTAAGATATTTGACTACCCTTAAGGCTACCTCCATGTGTGACTTATTGGGTGAATACATGAATTAGCTCAAGTTTTGTATTGCATAGGCTATGTCTGGCCTAGTCATTGTGAGGTATAAAAGCTTGCCCACCAATTTCTGATAACTTGTGGCATCTTCTATTGCCTCATCTATCTCTGTAGTATCAACTGCAAGGCCTTTGTCATATGCCATACTAGTGAGTCTCTGATTGACTTCCAAAGGTGTACTTGCATGCTTAGATCCTGCCAAACCCAGGTCTGAGATTAAATCTAAAGCAAACTTCCTTTGACAAACATAAATCTCAGCTTTACTTCTAGCTATTTCAAGACCACGAAAATACTTCATCTCCCCCAAGTCCTTGATCTTGAAATGATGTTGAAGTAATGCCTTAGTGTCCTCCTGAATAAGAGAGGCAGAAGAACCAATAATCAAAATATCATCCACATACATAAGGATAATCCTAATGTGGCCATTAACTTTCTTAGTGAAAAGAGAGTAATCATAGTGACTCTGGATAAGCCAGAAGTCAAAAGAGCCTCAGATAATTCCAAATTCCACTGTCCGGATGCTTGCTTCAGTCCATATAGAGACTTTTGCAATTAGCACACATTAGACAACTCCCCCTATCTAGCAAAACCTGGAGGCTCCACCATGTAGACATCCTATATCAAATCTCCTTGCAACAAAAGCATTAAAGACATCCATCTGGTGCAAGTGCCAACCATACATAACAGTCATGGATAAAACAGCTCTAACTGTGACTATATTTACTAGAGGAGAAAAGGTCTTCTGGTAGTCCAACCCCTCCTATTGTGTATATCTTTTTTGCCAAACGAGCCTTGTACCTCTCTACCCCCTCCCCCTCCCCTAGCATTATACTTGACCACCCACTTACATCTTATGGCCCTCTTACCAGCAGGCAAGTCCACCAAAAACCAAGTGTTATTATCAAGCAATGCTTGAATTTCCTGCTTCATAGCTGTAACTCAGTTAAAGCCTCTGAGTAGGAGCCGGGTTCTTTAATGACAGAATAACTGCAAATGGAGTCAAGGTAGGAGGCTGAAAGGGAGGTATAAGACATGTAGTTAGACATAGGGTATATGCAAGAGGCTGAAGTATGGTCACTAGGTAATGGACCATGCACAAAGTCATCCAACCATCTAGGAGGTCTGAAAGTTCTAGCAGTTCTCCTGGGTTGTGGGGAAGGAACATCAGGAGAGTTAGTAAGTGAGGAATGGCCTGCTGCAGAATCACTAGATTGGGTGAAATGTCTAGGTAATGAGAGCACAGGGCTGGGTGCTTCAGCATTATCCTGTATACCAGCATGAATTCCATGGATAGGAAAACCTGATTGAGGAGGAAATGATTCTGGGCTAAAACTGGGCTCCTGAATAGAGGGACCATCTTAAGTATATGGTGACTCTGAAAGTGAATCCATATGTGGCATAGGTGCAGGACAAGCAGGAATCCTGTAGGCATTTGATGTTTTAGATGATTTGAAAGGAAAAATATCCTCTTTAAAAATATCTCTGCATATGAATAACATCTTGCGTGAGAGGCTATAGAGTTTGTATCCTTTTTGTGTGTTAGAATACCTCATATGTACTGTTGCTTCAGCTCTTGGGCCAAACATATCTCCATTAGCCCTAGTAATAGTAGTATAACACAAGCTGCCTATAACTCTCAAATGAGCCAAGTTAGGTTTCTTCCAAAGAAAATTTTAAATGGTGACTTGTTTCCTAGTACTGGAGATGGTATCCTATTAATGAGATACACAACATTGACAGCACAAATACTCCAAAATCTCAAAGGCAACCCTACTTGAAACCTAAGTGCCCTGACCATTTCAAGGATGTGTTTGTGCTTTCTTTCAACCACCTCATTTTGTTGGGGTGTGTGAACACAAGAGATCTAGTGAATGATCCCTGCATTACTGAATAAAGCTTTGCAAAAAGAATTGAAAAACTCAGTCCCATTATCACTTCTAAAGACCTTTATTGATGTATTAAAGTGAGTTTGTACAAGTAGTAAGAATTCCTTAAGGATAGTGCTAACATCACTCTTCAGATATAGAAGAAACACTCATACCATTCTACTACAATCATCCACCAAAGTAAGAAAATACCTACAACATTCAAAGGTAGGGACCCTATAGGGACCCCAGACATCTGCATATACCAAGTCAAAGGGTTTTGCAGCTTTACTATTACTTATAAGGAAAGGAATTCTTGTCTGCTTAGCTAGAGGGCATAAAGTACAAGTCTTAGTATTATTCATGTTACTTCTAACTAAAGAAAGCTGTCTTAATATCCTCCCAAATACATGTCCTAGCCTCTTGTGCCATAGCTCATCCTCATCATGTACTGTTAGGAATACTAAAGAGACAAGCGATGGTGGCCTTTTATTCTTTGAGTGCCAATGATACAGATCTTCTTCCATTCTACCAATCCCCTTCACCTTCCCAATGTGAAGGTCCTGCATTAGACAAAAATCAGGATAGAATGCCATAAAGCATCTCAACTCTCTTGTCAACTTTGCTACTGATAACAAATTGAACTTGAATTTAGGGACACATAGAACATTATAAATGTTTCCTTGCAACAATTCAGAACTCCTTATATGTGTAATGGGGATTGTACTACCATTAGGTAAGAGCACCTTCTAATTCTCACGTTTAGTAATTGTAGACAGCATACCACAGTCTCCCACCATGTGATTTGTGGCCCCACTATCTACAATCCATTTATCATTCATATCATTAGGAAGAGATTGAGTAACAATACCTGATGCATTAGTTGTTGCTTTAGTACTGTTACCTTTGCTCAACATCTTCAGAATTTGGTTATACTATTCTTGGGTGAAGACCATAGGTGCTGCACCTGCATTCATATTTGTTGCACTTTGGCCTACAATAACACTGATCATCATCCCTTGACCCTGTCATATGTAGCAAAACCCTGACTACCACCAATAAAACCTAAACCATGATACTCTTCACTAGGGAAGTTGTATCCATGATTACTAGTGTTATGACCTTGATGGTAACCCCCAGGATAATGCTGCCCAGGAATCATATTAGAGTTTTGGTTCAATTGTTTACCAAACGAGGTCACATTGTTGGCAGTCACATTATTAGAAGTTGCCCCATTATTCTTTCTCCCCTTATAGTTTGGAGGGTATCTAACTAATTGGTAACAATTTTCCTCAGTATTGTGGTGCGACTGTGTTCATTATCCACGAAAGGACAATCGCATTGCATATTTCCCAGTGTTCATGAAACTCGTCATCAAATAATTCCTTTCTACAAGTTCCGGTAACAAAACCTAATTTCAGTTTGGCTTGAAGTGTTATATGCATCGACTTTCGCCATAGTCCATAGTTCTCAGATCCTTTGAGTTGGATCAGAATCAGAATTTAACCCGGAGTATCCGATGGATGCACAAAGAATGGATGCGTGTGGTCAATTTTAGCTTCATTTCCTGTAGTCGCGACTCCGGTTCCGTCTCCAATCGCCATTGTAACTGAATTGGGAAAAATTCAAAAAATTCTAGCTTTGCAATATGTGATGTTGGAACAATTTCTTCACGATTATGCAGGTATAAGCTTCGAAAAATAGACGAGTTATGAGCGAAGTTCCGATTGATTCTCATAACTCTGATACCATGTTAAGAGGTTAAAAGCTCTATTAATGGTGAAAGATGAAGAAGAGAGAATAGCGAGACAGAGAGAGAAGCTTCTAGAAAATGAGTAATATTTCTACTAACTGGTTTTACAATACATTGTACATCATTTCTCCACTGAATAGATGTGGTGCGAGTGTGTTCATTATCCACGAAAGGACAATCGCATTGCATGTTTCCCAGTGTTCATGAAACTCGTCATCGAATAATTCCTTTCTACAAGTTCTGGTAACAAAACCTAATTTTCGTTTGGCTTGAAGTGCTATACGCATCGACCTTCGCCATAGTCCATAGTTCTCAGATCCTTTGAGCTGGATCAGAATCAGCATTGAACCCGGAGTGTCCGATTGATGCACAAAAAGTGTATGCGTGTGGTCAATTTTAGCTTCATTTCCTGTAGTCGCGACTCATGTTTCGTCTCCATTCGCCATTGTAACTGAATTGGGAAAAATTCAAAAATCCTAGCTTTGCAATACGTGATGTTGGAACAATTTCTTCACAATTCTGCAGGTATAAGCTTCGAAAAATAGACGAGTTGTGAGTAAAATTCCGATCGATTCTCATAGCTCTGATACCATGTTAAGAGCTTGAAAGCTCTGTTAATTGTGAAAGATGAAGAAGAGAGAATAGCGAGACAGAAAGAGAAGTTTCTGAAAAATGAGTAATATTTCCACTATCTAATTTTACAATACACTATACATCATTTCTCCACTGAATAGATGTGGTGCGACTGTATTCATTAACCACGAAAGGACAACCGCATTGTATGTTTCCCAATGTTCATGAAACTCGTCATCAAATAATTCCTTTCTACAAGTTCCGGTATCAAAACCTAATTTTCGTTTGGCTTGAAGTGTTATACGCATCGACCTTCGCCGTAGTCCATAGTTCTCAGATCCTTTGAGCTGGATCGGAATCAGAATTGAACTCGAAGTGTCCGATGGATGCACAAAGAGTGGATGCGTGCGGTCAATTTTGGCTTCATTTCCTGTAGTCGCGACTCAATCGCCATTGTAACTGAATTGGGCAAAATTCAAAAAATTCTAGCTTTGCAATATGTGATGTTGGAACAATTTCTTCACGATTCTGCAGGTATAAGCTTCGAAAAATAGACGAGTTATGAGCGAAATTTCGATCGATTCTCACAGCTCTGATACCATGTTAAGAGCTTGAAAGCTTTGTTAATGGTGAAAGATGAAGAAAGAAGAGAGAATAGCGAGACAGAGAGAGAATCTTTTGGAAAATGAGTAATATTTCCACTAACTGATTTTATAATACACTGTATGATAAAATAAAATTTAATGTATAAATTAAGCTGTTATTTAATATTGAATACTAATATTAATAATTTCTTTGCAGGAAAGATCATATTTTAATTAAAAATTCAGCAGCTTGACAATTAAGGAGGCATGTGAGAAAAAGAAAAAGAAAAAGAAAAAGAACCGATTTTTGCATTATACAAATCAAGATCCACGACAAACAAAATGAAAAGAAAGAAGAAGAAAATGCTGAAGGCCAAGAAAGAAAGCCACGCTACTTTAGAGCAAGTGTGCATTTGCTAATGAGAATTTTGAAAGACAAAGTTGTCAGAATAATTTTTATATTTAACAATTGGAGTGGCAACTTGACTGGATAAAAAAAGTTTTCTGACAAATTCACAACAATAGGCAAGTTGCCAACTTAGAAAATAAGAAGTGTAACAATTCAGTGTATCGAAGCTCTATAAATAGCGCCACATTGAGCAGCTTTGAGAGTAGAGGAGCAAAGATATTTCATAAGTCATTTTCTTTCTTCTTCGTCTTCAGTTATTCAGTGTAGGAAATTACTCTAGTTTTCGTTTTTAATTAAATAGTGAGAATTATTCTTCTTGAATATTTTTTTCTATTTTCTTATTAATAGGCAAGAATATTTCTGTTGCTAGTACTAACTCCAGTATGGAGTAACTCTTCTTGTGTTGGGAGAATGACAGATCTTAATATTTTTATATAATAGTAGATTATTCCTCAATTTCACATGTTTGAGCTGGAGCTTTTTTATTTATATCTACTTTATAGTTAAGTGCTTGTTAAAATCTATCTATTTCTTACTACATATTAACTCATTACTAATTCTGTAATCGAGAGAGGTGGAAGAAGTAATATAGTTAATTTTGGTATAGATAGATGTTAACTTTTATTTAGTGGCATCTAGTTCTTATATGTTAAAATTGATTCTACACTTATTTGTAATCGAGAGAGGCGAATAGTGTAAAAATCAGTTGTAACAAGTAAGGTAACCGAAAGGGACTTACTAAAAAG